TATGAGCAGAAGCACATCCACAGCTTTCTGAGTGTGTGCTTTTTTCCCCACCCTCCTCCGGCTCATCAGTTCTTGTCAAGTCTCCCTTCCTATGAACCCACCAGAATCCTTCTAGGAAGCCGCCACCTCCACTCAGTTCTACTTTCACTCGCTGTTTCTGCTGCCTCAGAAAGGAAAATATGAAAATTTTAATTGTGGCTCTCCACAGGATGAGCCCGGTTGTCTCGAGGACCCTGGCAGTGGGGTGCAATGACCCTACAGGTTTCAGCTAACAAGCTGCAAGGCACTCATTGCCAGGTGCACCTCCCAGTCCCCTGGACACACCACAGAACAACGTGATGCTTTCCCAGGAGGCTCTAGGGATGAGACTGCCCATTTATTTTTTGGAAACAGAGCTGGAAGCAGAGGGCACTTGTCTCACAAGAGCCCTTGAAAATGCTTCTACCAGTCTTCATGGCTTTGGCCCCAGCTTTTAACCTGATTTTCTATTGCTGTATCCAAACTATGCAGCTAAGCACACAAGATTCAAAGGACTTGATATTCAGAGATCCATCAGCAGAGTTCAAAGACACTGGCCTATGACTGCACCCTCTTAGGAAAATTGCTGCACAGATTTCAAGAGGGAAGGCTGTATCTAGACTAGTATTTCTACTCTAGAGCTTTTGAGTGATATGGAGGGCCTACTCCAAACAGGATATTTTGATTTTAATCCAGTGACTGTTATTTTAGGCTGTATCTAGACTAGTATTTCTACTCCAGAGCTTTGGAGTGGCATGGAGGGCCTACTCCAAACAGGGTATTTCGATCTTCATCCAGTGACTGTATTTTGACAGCTGGCCCAGCATGCTGCCTCCTTGGCTAACACATACTCTTCCCAGTAGCCTTTTCAGGAAATACAAAGTATCGTCTCTCCTGTGATTTCTCCCTTTGCCATCTAGGCCCTCATTCTCACCCGCAGGTCTACGGCTGCCATCACCCACCACCTCTCAGACATTACAGCGTTTGCAGCTATTTGCTCTAGGTTAGAGCTCGCTGCCTCTCCCACCTCTCTGCCCCTTTCAGCCTCCTTCTCCCAAGACCACGTTTCTCTCGCACAAGCAGCAGTGCTAAGTCCAGGCCAAACCCACACGCTCACCAAGGTTCACCCCTTGGGAGCCCACGTGAGGAAGCTCTGCTTTCGACTCCACGACTGCATTCACAAGGGACCTACCTGGCCTTAACCTGCTTCACTTGCCCTGCAGGAAGGGACATGGTTCTGCGGCTAAACAAATCATTTCTCCTCAGGGAAGTACCTTCTTGGTGAGAAGCAGAAGGGCTCCAACAAGCACGCATACCTTTTCCTCTCAGGTGTCCAAACAGCATTAAATCCCTCTTGCAGGCTTTGATCCTTGTCACCTTGGTGCACCTGTTAACTGAAGGAATTTGCATTTTTCAGCAGTTAGTTCAGAGCCATCAGACCATGAGCTATGTCACTGCCTTGCCAAGGACAGTCTCCATCCACCCTGTTCTTGCGAAGGGCCGCAGGACAGCGTGACTTTGTGAAAAAGCTGAAGGCTGGGCAGACAGCTTAAAAAAGAAAAAAAGGCAAAAAAACCCCACAGAACAGGACCCATGACACATTGCAATTGAGAACGCTTAAATAGTCTCACGTTACAAAGACACAGATGACATTTTGAAGATGAAAAACCAGGAGGTTACTAACCATTAACTGGGCTGGTTAATGAGATGTGCAATCCCCTGGATCAGCTCTTCCCACTCTGCACTGGGACACGAGCCCACGGGAACCAAGCACGAGGCAGCTGCAAAGCAGGAGCTCCTCAGAGCTCGTGGGCACAAGGGGCTCCATGCCCGGGGGCACTTACAGCCTATGCTGGAAGTGCAAATTTGCCTTTTAACCTGAGAGAGGCAAACTCACCCCAAGCTCTCCACAGTCTATCCCTTTATCCACCTAGGCTTTAAGCAGTCATTCCGTATGAGCTACAAGACTTACCTTTCCCAGGCTTTAGGATTCAGAGGAGACCTGCAAGGTAAGTAAAGTCAACAGCCAAGGGGCTGAAAACTAACAGCTGGTTCTGACTTTCCCAGACAGCAAATATTAGCCTGGAAGATACCTCTGGCACTGATCAGGGATTGCTCTCATCTGTGCAGTATTAGCTAACTTCTAAGAATGGAGCAAGCAGCAGTATTCCCTGTCTTTTCATAGGAAGGCAAAGGACTATTAGAAGCAGAAATACTGCTGTTTTTTTCCTAATCTGTTTCTTCATCTATTGCAGTCAGTGGATGCAAGTTTGAAAGCAAGGAACAAACAGTAAATGCCTTTACAAAAAACAAACAAAACAAACAAAAAAAACCCCACCCCAAACAACAACAACAAACCACACCAGCTTGTGTTTAATGGTGTAAATAACTTTTCTGCATTTTCACAACTTCCCTTTCTTAGTATGCCTCTGTGGGTTTTGCACAATTCAACCTTCTTTAACCCAAAGAGAGAACTGTGCTTCAGATATTGCAAAACTTAACAAAAATAATCTTTTTTTGATAAATATCTTGTAAGAATGTTGCACCCATCTGATCTACACCTCTGCCATAATGTAGCACAGGTATTAGGACCTAGCTGCAGGAGCAGTTAGGGACTGCTATTTGGAAGAAGGGGATCTGTAAGCAGCAAAGAGTAATAAAGGACTTTGACAGACAGAAGGGTAGCAGAAGGAATTGATTATAGGATGCAGCAATGTTTTCACGGGTTTTGGTACCCTGGAGTAAAGAAGAAACCCTACAGAGAGCTCCTCCTCCCTCCTTGCTACCCAGTGCTGTTTTCCAGTGCCTAAGAGGGTATGCTGAACGTGGAGTGGCTGGCACTGCAAACCCACTGATTTGACACAGGAGCCTTCTGAAACCTGAACACATAGAAGTGCATCGATAGATCTGACTGGAAAACAAGAATTTACCTCCTAAAACTTTTCAGTGTTGCAAGTTTCAACCTTTAGCTTTGCTCCTATGGCAGAACTTGCATGTTCCATAGCTCAGCTGAACTGCAGAATCTCTTGCTAAGAAACCTTCCCAGGCAAAAAATATTTGGGGAAACATGTATTTGTATATGCAAACATAGTCATTAAGGTGAGCTGTAAGTTAAAGCACTTCCATTCATTTTTTGGTTCTACCATCCCGTTCATTTCCTGTGAGCACACTAAATTTTACCCAATTAGCTCAGGGCAGGTAATACAGAACCCAAACGTGTCCACATAGTACCTCTCAGTAGAAACGCTGCTTTTGGTATCACTGAACAAAACCCTCAAACCCACAGATTTGATAAACGGTACCTAAATAAAAAGAAAAAATAAAATATTTTCATGTTTTAAGTTGTCTAAATTTAGAAATAAGGGGTTCCTATAAAGATCCATTTTATTCTGTAAAGCATAGTAAACCCAAAATTTCAAATATTTTATTTACTTCACCTAAAAAAACAAGCAACCCATAAGTAAGATATACATAGGCTTCTCAGATTTATCCCTAATAAATTTTTAAAAGATTTATACAATTTCTACAGAAACATACAGTGTATCAAAATCTGCATAAATCAAATTTATAAAATATGTAGAAATGCATAGTGATATTATCATCAACTTACAAAGCAAGATTATGGGAATTATTTTTTTCCAAGCAGGCGATAGTAGGAAAAAGTCATTACGGCTACAGCTTCTTATGATCTCATGTTTTGTAAGTTTTTCAGTCTCACATACAGATTCATATTCACATACAGCATCAGCTTTTAATGAATTGCACAAAATACCCATTTAAAATGCACGTCCGCACAATTTATGTGCCACCTTTCTCTTATGCATAGTAATATGATTAAATTAATCTACCCAACAAACAAAAATGGAGTCAGTTTTCATACACACAAGGGACAAGTACCAACACACACCCTTATTCTCCTTTTTCCAGTTTTTCCCTCCTTTATTTTCTGTTTTCCATACCTCTTAAAGGATAGATGAGAAGTTTAAAGAAACTAGGAAAGATCCCAAATCAATATATCAGTGCAGACAGCCCTATAATGATCAAACTCTGTCACCAGATACATAACCCTTGTTAAGTCAATGGAAGCTGCTAGATTTCAGGGGAATATTCAGTCATATTTAATAGTGTGACATGTTATAGACGTAATTCTTATTACATCAGTACACTCCGATGGCATCAATATTTAACAGTCACAGAATCTTCAATATGGAAGCAAGGCTAAGTCATTTCTCCTACACGTCTGTTCATTTACAGTAAATATTTATACCCTTACAGAAGTACCCACTACAAACTCCCGTTCAAAACATTTTTAGCTACTGCTTCTTCACATTCTGCTTTGTACACCGGAGGTAGCACCAAGTGGTTGTATTTTGTATTCATAATCCTTCAGGAAAAGTTCCCAGGGTAAAAAAAAGAAAAATATCAACAGATGTGGTTTCAGGATTCCCTCTTATCAAGTCTAAATCTGGAATCCAAACGTGCTTTACAGATAACCTTTTTAAGAATTATGCACACATGTTAATAAGCCCCCCCCTCCCATTAAAAGCTTCAGTTCATCTCAGAGTGAATTCTATTTGAAACTCCACAAATAAAGAATCGGATTAATTCTACATTTTATATAATTGTGCGGCTTTTCTTCTTAGTATGTAAGGCATGATATAAACAAGTAAATTTAGTGCTTACAATTTTTTAACTGGAATTGACAGGGTGCTTGCTGTCGTAAAAATGTACCACACAGTGCTACACATCACGCTAAGCTCTTCCTTGTACTATATAAAAAGCATTTAATTGCTCCAGCATTTAGTCAAATATACCGAGTGCAAGGAACAGCTCCTGGGGCAACATCCCCAATTCTGGATTCTCATCAAGTTGAGGCATCTGCAGCCAAGGGGCACATGGGACTTTCTGGGAGATCTCACGGCACATTTTTCTGTAGCCTGTGTTTTAACTCACCCACAAGCAGTAAGTCCAGTCGCCAAACGGGTAGCAGAAATTTCTCTTAGGTAACACAGTAGTTACATGGGGGTACAGTTGATCCCTACCACGGTCACAGCTCAGAAAAGAAAATCCACTGTCTAATTTCCAATAAATGCTGTTCTCGTAAAATACAGAAATGAAAGAGGCACTAAATATGTTGAATTTCACCTTCCAAAAAAGCAGCATGACTGTGAGAGAAGGCCACCCTGGCTAAGAACCTGTGGCAGTGCTTAGTAAGATGTAAAATTAAATAAAAATATACAACAGGTTGATAATCACCAAGTTCTATGAAAGTCTGGTTACTCCAACCTTTTCAAGTGTGTGTAAAAAAACTGCCTTCAGACCCCTGAGTGTAATCCCAAAGAAGACGACAGTGCTTTTAACTACGTTCCTATGAAACATAGCTAACAGCACATTAATTTACCAACATCTTAAAACAAAAAGATGTAAACATCTACAGAGTTTAAGGTAAAGCAGTTTTGTAAACATTAACTGCAGATGATAATGTTATTGTAATAGTCACAGTTCCCCTACGTCCTTCATCCAAGTCAGGAGGCTCGCAGCTTTACAGAGTTAATAGTTGCAGCAGTTTTCAGGCTATTCTCAGTCCTGTACAAATTAATGTGTCAGTAGGTAGGTTTTTTGTTTGTCTACACACTAAGAATGTTGTTCATTTCCCATTTTTGCGTGGCTTTATTGGAGTCACACTCTGAAATAAAGACTTGATGTAGGACCTCGGAACGATCCAAGCACTTCCCTGATGGAATATGAGTAAATCTGTGCAGATTCTGGAAAACAAAACCACCAGCAACACACACACACATATATACATATGTATACATATTTTTTTCCCCCCTTCACAACTTTAATACAGCTATTTACTGTTATAGAAACAGGTTTCAGGGTTCCTGTGGAAAGACTGGTTCTATACTCAATATATAGCTTGTTAAATCTGCATTTTCACATCCTTCATGTTATGAAGTGCTTGATATATATATTTACTCACTTGAAACATCTCACATTTCTCTGTGGAAACACATTGCTAAGGAAACAAGCAAAACTGTCTAAAACGCTTCCAGCCCTTTATCCTATATCCAAAAGAGACGAATAAAGTCTTGAGGACTGTTCTAGAGCCCAGGCAGTGCCTACTGACTTTCCTTGCAATTTCGAGCAATAAGCAAACAATTGCACAACAGGGCAGCGCCATGGAGGAAATGGACCTTCTTGCACAAAAGAAATAGCCAGAGAGGAGCCAAGCAACGTGCTGCGACAAACTAGAAAGGCTGGAAGAACGACAAGTGCTGTATCTAACTCTGATATTAAAGGCAGAGACAGCAGACACTGAATCGCTGCTTATTGATATTTAAACCTTGCACATCAAGATCTCTGTCTGCACAAGCAGCTCAAGAAAGCTGAGTGGGAACGTTCTGCCCTCAGGGTCTCCCAGCTCTAGGCACGTGCCACAGAAAAGGGGGTGCTTCAAGGATAGCAAGCTCAGCAGCGCCTGCAGCCGTGACAGAAACACAGCCCAGGTAGCCAGCTGCAGGGGCCCCCCGTCCGTGACAGAAACACAGCCCAGGTAGCCAGCTGCAAACTAACAAATATCCAGGAGCCTTGACAGACTGAGGTAAAAATCCCCAACAGGGAGATTTGCTTAGACACAAGACCAAATTATATGTGGATGTATCCAAGGATAACATTGCCCTTAGTCTACCCTCCTCTTTTTTTAGGGAAAATCAAGAGTAGAGACATGGAGCCTTACGCCTACTAAATGGAGGGTAGCAGCTTTAACATGTTTATCAGCTGGCATTCCAAGCCCTTATTAAAAACGCATGTATTTGCAATAGCTTTATACTGGCCCCACACCCATAATTCACAACAGAGCGTGTTTGCTCAGGGAATGGTTAATGAACAGGAGAAAGAAAGCCTGAAGAAGGTAAAGACAGCACAAAGGCACTTGACGAGTTAAGCCATGCTTAGCTGTTCCTAGCTGCTAAAAGCACATCAGCTTTTAAGTCATCTTCCCACAGCACCCATTTTGCAGGGAGCTTTCTCAATGGCAAGTGTACCAGCAGAGAGGAGAATGGCACAAAAAGCTTCTACAAACGCTGTCACTAGTAGCATCCTCTTCGCTTCCTTTGGGACAAGCGCTAGCTCCTAACATACCTGTGGCTGCACATGCAGCCTCACAAGATTTTTTTTGAAGATTTTTCCCTGTGGAATATAGGGAGCACCAACAAAAACATCTTCCCTGAGGAGAAGTTTTTTTCCAGTAAGTAGGGGTTTCTGAGAACATGCCATCGGCAACTTACTAAGTTCAGTTAACCTTGCCATAGATATCTATTTTCAAATGCATGGGGAATAATACTAAAAAGAGGGGGCAAGAAAACAGGATACAGAAATGTGCTTCCCCCCATTTCTGTTACATACCTTGAAGTATTGCCAATCCTTGTGTTCATTCAGATTACAGTGTGTAATGGTAACTTTGGATCCATCTGCTCCTTTAGTTAAGCACTGATCGTACTGCATGAGTTGATTAGCTTCATTGATTCGGAACAGCTAACGGATAAAAAGATGACACCTTTTTAGTAGTTGTCCTCATAAAATAACCAACATTTTATACACACCGAAAATGCCAAAGAAACTGTATCAGTCAAAACATCCTTTGGTATTATTACTTCTGGCTTTAAGGAGGACTCCTTATTTTAGATAATGCAAGGCATTGTAGTCTCACTCTAGGACACTCAATTTTATGGATGACTATTCATTTGGATTTAGAAAGGCTAAGTAACTTGCCAAGCGAGACAAAAATGATAAAAATAGAGGGATCCCTATTTGGGAGACTTCTAAAAGTGCTGATTAAAAGTCTGTGTATGGTTTGATAGCTAAAGGAGCCCCTTCTAAAGATCTGCTAGCAATTTTTTTGCCCTATCCTGTATTCTTTATCTGAAGACAATAAAACTTTGGTATTTTATACATGGAGAAAAGTCAAACTAATATACGTAAATACAAACAGATTATCTTAATTACGTCTTATGAAATAATTGCCAGAGGATGTTTTGAGGTAGCATATACAGAAAAGGCATTTTAGTGGATGTTTGCTTAAAATCAAAGACGCATTTCCAGAGGCTATCAAATTTAGAATTAACTAGAGAGGATTTTTTTTTTTTTTCTTCAGCATCGCTCCATATGTGGTTTCAGGGCTGCCATGGTCAGACTTGCCTGCATGAGAACAATTTCGTTATGAATATCTTCTCAGTTTGGTTCAAGTCTACATTAGACCAAGTTAGGACTTCAAAAACTGAGAATTTATCCAACTCAAAAAGAAGGCATACATACAAGATAACCTGTAGTAGTCTTGACAGTGTGGACATGTTTATGAAGATTTAGATGAAACAGGATAGTAGATAGTAGAGTGCAGTCATCTAACAGTAATTAAGTTTTGCCAATTAATTTGTAAATGAAGCAGAGACAAATTTGTACTCCACTTATCTTCTGTGGTAGAAGGGCGAGTTTTTATGTTTTCATTACATTTCATTACTGTTATATTTTATATAACATTTTCATTACAAAACAAAGCAACCTTGGGAAATAGCTAAGCCAGAGTAAGGGGGTTCCTGAAGGATTACTTGAGGATAAATGAAGAATTGTCAGTGATGCTAAGAGTTGCAGTTGCACTAATGCAGTGTTATCGTTGCTTTGAAGCACAGGCTCACTTCCTCATGTATCTCCTTCTCTTGAGGGGGGGAAAAAAAAGATTGAAAATTTATTTCTTCATTTGTACAGTTTGTTTGAAATGATATTTTCAGATCCCTATATATAGGGGTATCAGTATGCTTAAAGAAAATCCCTAAATCCCATATTTGCAGTTGGCACAGAAATTTTTTGTACGACTTGAACAGAGAAATGGTTGTGTAACCTTCCAAGTGACAGCAATTCTCTTTCAAACTTTCCTCAAAGCCACTTACCTGGTTTCCTCCCATTCTGTGACACGGCCCAAGTTCAACAACGCCACCATTGGTGTGTCCCATGCTGTCGATACAGTAAGAGGTTTCAAACCCTCTAATCTAGCGGGGGGAAAAAAAAGGAGGGTGGGGTATTTCACTTTAAGCTGGTCCCTAGGCAAAAATAAATGGATGAAAATTCAGAAATTTCCACTTATTCAAACCAGGAAAATGTACCTGCCGCACAGATATCCAGACAAGACTGCATGTGAAATTTAAATGAAGATGTTCACTTTCCAGAGGGAGAGTGTGCTACCCATACTAATTTGAGGGCTCTTATGAGCTAATGAGCACAGTGGTAAAGCTGCACAGTCGCAAAGATCAGTTCCAAATTAATGACACTGAGGAGTGCAGCACTTTCAAGTTTTTTCATTTATTCAGTCTCCCACTGAAGTGTGTTCAACCTCCCAGATCTTCACAAACGAGGTGAAATAGGAACTCTGTTAGGCTGTTCTTATCTCATGCAAGATGTGAGGAGACTTAAAAAAGAGAAAGGAGAAGAAAAAAAAAAAAAAGAGAGAATTCCCAACTTTAAAATCAATGCCTCTAAAATAAATATAGGTTATATGCTTTACATACCTCTCCCCATTCCACATTTTTAGGTGGTAAAGGATAATAGGTTGTTATGTCATATGCAATTTCTTCCATAAACCATTTAAAACTTTTGCAGTTGTGATCTTCACGGAATTTTTTCAGCTCAGATATATCTCCATAGGGAAGTGCTTTTGTCTCTGGCCGACTGGCATAAAAATAATCTTTATATTCGTCCCACCACACTTCCACAACTCTGACGTAGTTCTGTGGAGAGCAACAACATCGTTCGCTGCTACCTCACGATACGCACACAATAGATCAGATATAACAGCATATTAATTCTACAAATACAAGGTTTTTTTTCCTAAAAAGCTTGAGTGAAATGATTTTATACCACTAATAATATACATCTTCAGAGGAGTATACAAGACACAGAAGCACTATTCTCAGATGAGACTGTAGAGGTGAAGCCAGCAAAATAAACTGACTTAATGAGCATATGAAGTATTTTTCTAAGTTTAGGGAATCTTTGGGAACGGAAACAAAAGCCTCTTCAGTTATGGGTGCAGGCACTGGCTACCTAGCAGGAGCACAATTCAGAGCTTGCATTCATCTCCTACAGGACTAACAGAGTAAATGGCACACATAAGTCTACAAAGGGCAAAAGTTTTAAGCCTTAAACTGGTCAGCTAATGACACATCAAGGTGATCTTATCTCCTTGTATGTATTAAGCCAAGTAGTTTATTGTTGCTTTAAGGAAAGGGAAAATGGGATGGCTTATCTGGAGAAGAAGCCTCTCCAGCACATCCTTCTCCCCAGATTTTATGAGGGTCCTTATCTCTACATTACCTGCACACATGCCAGATGCACATCTTGCTTTGTAGGGGTCTTCCAGCATTTTTGTTCTACAGTGTTAAAACAAAACCTTAACAGATCTGACTAATGGCACACATTACTGCATGATTTACTTTAATCCACTTCCAGCCAATTTGAACAAAGCTGTAAGAAAACCACATCTACGTGCGAGCAGGAGTGTGGCTGAATAGAGCAAAAGCTACTCCTGGGTGCTGCCCTGTGCAGAGAAGCTCCCTAATATTTAGGGATGCTCAGGAGGGCTTGCTCTATACAACAAAGAGATGACCAGGCTCATGCAAGGCATTTGGATTTGCAGCAAATATCTTAGATCAGATTTTTTTTTTCAGATTAGTGAAGTTTTATAATCTCAGATAAGACAAATGGCTTATCGGCACCAATGAAACTAACACTTACCTTGCCTCCCATTGCTGTTTTGCCTGTCCCCATTCCCACCTATGCACATCTTCCCCACCCTTCCAGTGGGTTCAAGGGCTTGTTTGCTCGAAATGTAAATCAGTTCACTAATGTAGTAAAAGTCTATCTTTTAGAGTCTGCTTGTTTTGTGTTGTTTGTTAGATGAGAATAATGGAAGACATCTCTGGGCCCAGAATTCATAAGGCACTGGTCTGTAGAAATGGGATTTACAACTGCCCAAACCCTGCACTAGAAGAAGCGGCAGGCAACCTCAACAGGAAGGCTGTCTCTGTGCCTATGGGTAGAAACCTGTAAGAATGGAGTTCACAATCTGCAGTTGCTTTTCTTGATTCATTTTCTCTCTTCAGATACGGACTCACTCGACGTGATGATGTCTAATTTTAGTATCACATCTTCAGCAATATTTTTCATCTTGAAAGGTGCCCGAGTGACAGACCTTTACTCCAAAGCGCAGAGTATCTTATTTGTCTTCTGCTGCTGCTTAATTAACTGAAAAAAAAGCAGCTACAAAAGGTCCGGGCACACTAGATTACAGCATTACCTCAGGGAGGTCTTGGGGATCATGTTCTACTTGGTCAAAGGTGGAAGGCAAACCCATGACCATCATCTTCCAGAAGCGTACCGTAGTTAGGCACTCTGGATGGACACAGTACAGCAAAAACTTGTGGGACAAGAATAAGTAAGAGGATATTTGCTTCGTACCTCAGGGGTGGCGAGGGGTGGAGAAGGAAGAAGGTTTCTGGGAGTCTCTGCTCTTAATAGTGCTGGGATTGGCACCTAGATATCCCTGCCATGTGGGCAACAACCTTAGCTTTATACACCATTTAGCTTCAGATGAAGTGTTTGTTGAAATGCTGCTGACAGTCTAATTAGTTAAACTTAAATCAGTTGTCTAACATCAAAACACCTTCAAGGTTTCAGCAAAACAGTACCTTTAACGTAGGAGAGGAGCCAACGTACACAGGGGGTGGATTTCCTTGCCAGCCTTGGAGACGATAGATGTGTCCGACGCGAGAACAGGGAACAAACAACAGTTTCCCACCGCACTGCCAGATCTGCAAGTTCAAGCAATGACACAGATATTAATGTACGAGCACAGGCATTTCAGGACAAATACAGAATACATCACAACAGCAGTGTGAACTACTTGTCTTATTACACTACCTAATACACAGAAACATTTTTACTTTAGACATAAACATGATTTAGACCTGAAAGGAAGGGCTGTATTTAGCACCTCTTCACCTATATCATGAGCTTGCTTAGCTAAAGTACTACTATTCAAACAAGTTTTCAGTCTCCTTCCGTTGCTGTTTTAAAATGACAGTAACAAATGAGAGCACAAAGTCTGGAATGAGCAGTTGAGTTTGATAACTACAAGATTAACAATACCTTGATTTAACTAAAGCAACCCATATACCATCACAAAGATGAGTATTAGTTACATGGTACCACATGGTAAGCTTTCCCTAACAAAGGCTAGTAGGGGAAATTGGTATCTGTGGTGATTCAGTGTTTCACCTAAGTACAAATGGATTAATGATATTATTTAAAGGAGAACCTTATGGAAAGATATCTTAAATAATCTATAGTTTAGTTGTTCATAGTTTTAATGATTTTGAAATGCAGCATCAAATACATATTCAATATAGCTCTTTCAAATTAGACTGAATTCCAGATTAAAGTATATAATTTATCATTATTAGGAAGATGGACAGAGTATTTCACTATCTTTGTTTCGTCTGTTTTATTATCACATCAATTTCCTTACACAGTTTCACCAGAATAAACTACCAGGAAATTCTAATATAGAAAGCCATTATACTTGCTGTTGAGAAGCTAGCAAGCAACATTGAGAGAAGTGTTATCTATTTCTTTTGAAGACTGATTTTGATCTACGTTAAACCAATCTGGAATAGCTACCCAATCAGCAATGAATACCTACTTGAGTTAGGAACTACTCTGCAAATTCAGCCACGATTTAAACAGAAGCAAGATGGATAATTAGAAGGATAAGGACCCTGTATATGCAACACCCTCACTAACTGCCTTTACACATGAATTTATAGCTGAGGAAGTGCACCCTGATCCTTCCTCAAAATCACTGACATCAAGGCAGGCTGAGGAGCTCTGAAAGCACTTTCAGTAAAATTCAGTAGGATTTCATTGGTGATCACTGGTGGGGATGTTAGATCAGAAATCCAGTCTCCAGTTTTGCTTGTTGATTGGGGTGGATTCCTGCTTTTTAGCGTCCTTATGATTACTAAGGTTGCAAGAGGTTTATGTTTACAGACTTGTATGTCCTGCCAACTGAGGACCATGCACATGTCTAGGATTGCAAATAAAACCTTCTGCAGGGATTTTGCATCACACGGTTACAGGGTGTCAGTTATGAAAATCCTTATTTTCATAAAGGAATTCTCAGAATTTGGAACAGTCCATGAGATGGTTTGTCACCCCAAAAATGCCAGGGAGGAAGAAACTACATACTTCACTGCATCTCTGTATACTTGACATGTACTATGCAGGAACTGTATATTTGTTTTTCTCTATAGCCACTTTCATTAGCAGCAGTATTACCCTACAAGTACCATAAAAGAACTTGAGGGGTTTTTTGTTGGTTTGTTTTTAGTGAATAAAGTAGACTTTCTCTCTGATTTTCCTGTACAATTTCAGATCAGATATTTAGGTGCAAGCATAAACTGAAACCAGTTCAAAAGCAAATCAGAGGTAAACCCATCTGGATAACAGAAAGATTTACCAAAGACGACCTACCAACACTATTAGCTTTTAATTTTCAGTGTTACCTTGTAAGAAATTTCAAAATTTTCACCACCCCAAATCTGCAGACCTGGGTCATAGAGACCCAGTTCAAAGAAGAAATCGCGTTCGATGGCAAACAAGCCGCCAGCCATCGCAGGGGACCTGGAAGGAGAGCACAGTGTAAGAGCACCTCTTGCCAAGAGGATACGACAACACTCAGCAAAAGCAACAAGGGAGCAGCTCCCTGTTAACACACTACATGGATTAGATTAATGGCAATACATTCTGAAGTCATAAAGCTTTGTCATGAGCTCCAGGCATTTTCTGAAATTACATTTTTATTATTTTAGGTGAAGACCCATATTTTCTTATATCCGAGTTATACAAAATATTGGTCTGAAATGCTTGTTCACCCAGCAAGCCACCCAGCCGGCATCTAGAGCCATCAAGGAAAGTGGCAGGAATCGGTGTGACAAGGCATCAGTCACCTGGTGCATGTCCAGGCTGCTGAGATGAGAGAAGAGGCTGCACAGCAGCATTAGGTTTGTGCTCCAAACAGCCACCACGTGGAAACTCGCTGCCTATTACCCCAGAAACAGCGTTTCCAGCTACAGCATATCCTTCCATCTTCCCCCTCTGGCTCTTTCCTACTGCTGCCATGTGAGATACTTCTTATTATCCTCAGTGAAGCTTTTAAGAAGGCCTGGGTCAAGTCGTACAGTTAGGCCAGCTTTTTAGGAAGAAAAGGCTCTGTGATGCCCTCCTAAGTTATGCCAAGGTTCAATTAACAAGTCGTAATGTGTCAAAAAAGTTGTCGTCTGGATTACAGTATTTTTTCCAGAGTGGTTCCGACCAGATTTTTTGGCTACTTTGCTCACCCTGGAATAGAAAGGGGAATATGTTAAGCCATTTTCAGTGCACATACCAAGCATTTTCCACCTGGGGATCAGTAAGCATATAAAACCCCCTAATGGATAAAACCTGGAGTCCCCGCTGAGTACTCCATTTTAAAAAGTTTGCAAGGAAAAAGTGAATTCCTTCTGGCCCTTCAGATGACCTGCAGCACTGAAAGGAAGAGGATCCAAGTGCCAGATCCCTCTGCTGAGTTACGTATAACACAGGTGAAACATTATGTCTTGACCGGACCACTGAAAGGCAGGTTCCTTTTATTGATACTTTTTTTAATTTTTGAGTCCATAAGGTTTCTAACTTAGTGCCCTTCCTTTCAGTAGTAAGGATCATATATTTTCCTTCTGCACATAAATATATTGTGAATTGCTTAAAGTAAAAAGCAGCCCACCGGGTTAGTCCCTATGGAGTCAGCATGGTTGGGGCAGCAGAATAACAGCAAAAGTAATAAATCTGATGTATCTGCCCGATCCGATGCCAACAGCTGTTTTTCTGAGCGCCCGTTCCCACTTGTCTGCTCACTGCATTTTCTTCTGACATTGCTGTTGCATCACAGGGATGCAAAGATTAGGAAGCCAGGGAGCAGCACAGGGAGAAGCAGGCTGCAAAGCTCTGCTGCCCAGGGGCTTTCTGCAGAGGCCTCAAATGCTGAAGTTTCAGTCTTGGCCTCTACGATGCTGTCAAGGAACACAGCTGAGGAACATGCTGAGGAACGTGCTTTCATGCTGAGAAACACAGCAAAATCCACGTGAGCTCTGTAGTTCATTTTGCGAGATATGAAGCGGTAAGCTTTAATTTTTGGAAGAAGAATTCAGCTCTGTGGCAATTGTCCCATTACAAAAAGTTAGTTTCTGTGCTTTAAGCTGTGCTTAGTTTCTGTGCTTTAAGTTTTTTAACTGGGCAATTCTGGCTATGGTTTTACAAAACCCTTAATAGGTGTCTTGCCTTGGTACTGCTGCAACAACATGCATATGGCCTGCACATAACAGATGTAGGGAACGTCTCTTTTTAAGACAAAGCATTGTAGCTATCAAAGTATTATTAAACATAAGGTCATCTTTTAAAGCCCTCTGAGAACATGTGTTCTGTGTTTTTGGGAACGGTTTAAAGGATTTTAAGACCTGTTTGGATGGTAAACACAGTGCAACAGCAATGTTTAAAACAGTTTATCCCCCTCTAAGCGAGTATTAAAGTTCCAACGTGGACAGCCTTGTCAGAAAATGGTATTATTTATATTGTACACAAAACGGAACAGATCAAAGCTTCATAACTTCCTTGCATGTGTTGCCATTTTAGCAAAGAACAATCACGGGTGAGGATAGAGAATTACCAACATAAGGTCTTACAATGTTTAAATCATATATACAAGCAATAGGAGACACCAGATTCTGAAGATGTAAAGATTGCTTTCAAATGTAGTAACATGATTAGTTAAGTGTGAAGGGGAAAGTAATAAAAAACAGAGCAGAACCACAGACTCCCAGTCCTGAAAAGCAATCCAGAAACCCTAGTTTAAGTAAAATTTCAAAGATGTTCGTTTAGGGGGAGAAAAAAAAAATACCTCTCCCACAAAGCAAAAGAAAAAGGCCGGACTTCTATGAAAATTATTAGAGTTCTCCCACAGAATAACTTTTTTTCTTAAGTTACCTACACTAAATAAAAACCTCCAAACACATCTAGAGCTTCCAAATGATCTACGCATATTCTTTAATCGCATGCTTCTCTGTCAGATGTGAAGCAAGTGGGAGAAATAAGATAAAAGCTACTTTTGAGGGAGGTGCATGCATAATCCATGAGCCCTGATGCATGCACCAAGCCATTACAGCAGCCTAAAGGTTTTGTGCATTACCAGCTATTATGAATCCTCACAGCATGCTCATTACTTCAAATCAAGCAGCTAGCACTAAGACCTTTTGTTCCCAACACTATTTTTCTAAATATGCTATTATATTTTTAAGGAGATGAGTACAGATTTCCCTGGAAGAAAAAGCCATACAGTATTTTGGGTTGCCAATAAAGCCCATCGCTCTAATGGGCACCTGATTCACCCCAGAGCAG